AGTCTATACAACTTACCGGTGGGCGGAAAGGCTCCTTGGGCTCCGAAGAAACCTTTGCAGGTGCAGGAGCGGGGGACAATGACACAGCGGAACTCGGCGCCGGGTGCACGGGAACAGTGGCTGGAGACTGTGCCTGAGTCGTAATGGGCAGAGGTGGAAGTCCGACAGGCGGAGACATGGTGCTTTGTAGGGGAGTGGAGGTCCTCGGCTGCATGGGAAGAGACGCGGGAGGAATATGGGCCGGCGCCATTATAGGCTGAGAGGGAGGATAGGCAGACACATACATCGGTCCGTAAGGGTGTTGGTATGGGCGTGGAGGGAGCTGCATGGCAGGATAAGGCGGGTACCAATGAGGGTATTGCTGGGGCGAGTATGCGGCCGGAGGAGGGTGGCCGTTCATATGGGGATGGTACCCCATGTAGGCAGGAGGGGTTCGCATGTTGGGAGGAGCTGTAGTGTAAGGAACATCTTGCTGTCGACGAGGAGTAGGCATGGGTGGCTGCCCATGGGGCATTGCGGGCATATGATGGTTCATCATGTCCAGGCAGTCGGAGAGTCGCCTTGACTATTCAGCCACGCGTTGCCTCAATGGGAGCCATACGAGGTCAAGAAGCGAAAGAAAGCAGACTGGGGGGGCGAGCACCCGTCTAAGCAGCCATCCTAACGCCCCAGGCGGGACACTGAAAGCTAAGATAAGGTAATTGTAGGCCGAAGCTTGGCGTCTAATTGTGCTCGAAGGATCAGCGTGGTGTACGACGTAAGGTAGACGTTGCGCAAAAGATCGGGGAAGGGTTGGTTGGGTGAGATGTGGTACGAACCTTGTGTGAAACGCGGGGTCAAGCTCTAAGGATGAATGACGAGGCCGGAGGGATAATAAAGAAGGCCAGTAAGACAAGAAAGGGAGGTGGTGAAGAAAGAGGCAAAGGGCCGGACAGCACAATCGGGGGGAAGTGGGTGGATTGCTGGAGCTGAGATGGATGATGTTTTTTTGGCGGACGGCACGTGCCTGAGGCTCCGCTGCGGCAGGATCGCCGGCCCTGGAGATTCACCAACAAACCCAACAGAGCCTCACCAGATGTTACGTTCTTTCTTAATTCTGGTATACTTACTCTCTGAAGGATAGTGACAGGCAAGCTTGCAGTAGCATACTCTGAAATCGAATCATAATAATACTTCTCATCTTCTCCAGACCTCCCACAGATCAGTATTCTCCTGACACCGTGTCTTCCTGATCAGGAAAGAGAGCTAGGTTACTAGTACCTTCTATCTGGATAGACGCGTCGTGACTCCGAAAGAGTCCAACAGAAGAGGTTTCTCTAATCTTAGCTGCTTTATCATTTTTATCTAGTTGTTGTAATTGGTACACATATGTAGCCATCAAATTTCCATAAAAACACTCTCGACTCCTGACCTATGCTCTTCCCAAAATGTATCTGCAAACAACCCCCCACACATGATTATAACATAATATTCGTGATAAAGTAGAGAAAAATCCACAAAGTACCGTACAGAAAAGATTGTAAACGACAAAGTGGATCACCAGAAGCTGGTGGACGAAGAACGCACAGATAGTTGCACCTTCTATGCCCCTCTTTGGATATTGGTCGACATGAGTGTAATTTTCTTATTCTTCTTCTTTTTCCCGCCAGAGGAAGAAGCTGGAGTGTTCGCCTCAGCAGCAGATTGAGCCAAGAGCTCCCTTTCTTGCTGGGCCCACAGCTCCTCCTCCCAGCCCTGCAGCCAACCATCGGCAGGGGCTTGTGAGCTCGACGGAGCCGAAAGTGTCGGAGCGGCAACTGTTCCCCACACCGTACGAGATCCGGGGGGACTCGAGGAGGGCGGAGGGGATGCAGAGGAAGAGGATATATCGAAGCCAGAAGGCTCGCCAGCAGAGCCCGATAACGGCTGAAAATCGCGGTCGGAGAAGGGAGGTTCATCGACGGGGCCAATGCTAGGCCTCTTCCGGCGCGCCGCTGCCCAGCGCTTTTCATCCTCTTCTTTCTCCGCTCGAATGCGATCCTTCTCTTCTCGCACCTCTTTCTCCTTATTGCGCTTCCGTCTCTTTTCAGTTTCCGACTTGAAATTTTCTAGCACCTCCGGCACAACTACGTCTCTCCAGTCACACTCGAGAAAGTTCACCTCACAACCTTGCGGCAGGTGGCTGAGATACTTGACTCGTTTGCGTAGCTCGTCGTCCACAATATGACCGCTCGAAATACGCTCAACCCTAGGGAGAATGGTGGCCGGGAATGAAGAGTAATCGCCAAATGCAGCTTTCAAGATGCGGATGTCCAAGGGCGAAAGGTAGAATTGGGGTAGAGCTTGGTAGAAGAAGAACGCATGGTCAGATGTAGTAGGACCTCGCTTTGAGGGCATGTTATTTCGGCCGTGTCCAGGATCCCTCTTTTTCTTTTTCGGGGCAGAGGTTGTATTCAGGTCAACCTGGCCCAAAGCTTCGGCTGTACGATCCACATCATTGGACGTCTCCGGAGTGGAGGCCGAACCAGGCCCAGTATCTGACGCGGTGATAGACTCCGCAGACGAACTTTGGCCTGACTTGATTGCATGCTGCGATGCATACATGGCAGCAATTTCCTCTGGTGGTGAGTGTGCGGCGACAGGTTCCTTTGGCTCTTGGCTTGGGACGGGCTGTCGCACAATCTCGGGTGGGTTCCCTATACCTTCTACCTTGGATTTGGCATCTGCAATTGCTGCAACCGCCTTCCGTGTCCAAGTAGTATCATCTCCAAATAAAAGCTCATCCTCAAGCTCCTGCCTGCGGAGCTCATCAATCTCAATGTCGTATTGTTCTTTCATATAATCTTCACCTCCTTTCATTATGCGCGCGTAATCAGCCACTTCCGCAGCATGATACCACGGAACATCCTCATCTGGTGCTATTCCCTCAGCTCCATCCCGTGGCAGTGCTAACGTGCTTCCGGGCTCTCTTTTCACTAGCCTTAGTACGACATCACCCCCCTCGAATGGGAGGTCCCCTTCTTGGCCACGAAACCATCGCACAGGCCGAGTTTCCGAAATGTATACGGAGTCCCAACAGATGGGGCACTTTTTCCATCGTGGCTTCTTCTCAGGAACCGCTTTTTCCTCGTCAGTCGAATGCATGTAGCGAATCAAACAAGGAAGGCAGAATATATGACCACAACGAGCCATGCGTGGCGCTACCGGTGTGGACAAACAGATGGGGCAGCTAGCTGACTGTGTCTGCTCTGATACCAAGACCTGCATCACTGAATCCCAGTCAAGATGGACATCAGCATTGGCCGCTTGTGCATGGTAGTTGCGATTCGGCGTCACAATAAAGCGATAGTTGGCATGAACGTAGCGGGATTTGTCCATGGCATGGTAGCCGGAACCTGGACCCCAGGACGTATAGCGGCGAGTATTACGGGGTGGAGGATGGTACTGAGGACGAGGGGGAAGGGAGAAGTTCATCAGATGAGTGATGGACGTCTGTCCCTTGCGACTGGTCGTGGATCTCATGATGGCCTGGGGAGACGGACGAGTCAGTAAACAAGGCTAGCAAAGCCATAGCGATAGTCCTAGTGAGTGACTGCAGCCACATTGTTCGCACTTCTGCTACAACCCCCAGATTATCTTGCATGCGCAGGCCCCTCCTTCAGCATCTTATGTAAGCCCCTTCGCGTATATGATGTCCAGGGATCTCAAGGAAGCTTCCCAAGGCTTTACGCATACGGAATCACAAAGAGCATCAGGTGGGGATAATACAAGGGCGGGAAGTATGGCAGGATAGTGTGGCTCGAGTCAGGCTCGGGTGAGCGTGATGTAGCTGTAGCCACTCCCTAGAATTCGAGACACGTACCGATTCGCTATAATCCTCATCATCTAGCAATCGAGGACGCCTCTGTCGTTTATGCTGACTCCTGAGAGCTTGATTGTGCCTAGGAGAGCCTGAGTTTCTAGCCTGAGATGTCAACCCAGCTCCAAAGCTGCCAGAACCTCCCGGGCGCCGCTGAGACCGCGGAGAGCCGCTATCGAATGACGATGGAGTAAATGTCGCAGAGGCTGGCTGACTCGGAATGTTCACCGCTTTCATAGATGTGGTAGGAATCTGACTAGGATTGCCCGACATTATTCACTCTGCCTTTTTAAGGTAAAGGCGTGAAAGTACCTTCGTATGGCGGGGGCAGAAAAAGCAGTTATGGAAGGAAAATGCGGAGATATGACTAGAGTTGCGGTACAGCCTCCGACTGAGGCAGGTGGGGGATTGTGGTTGAGCAAGAAAAAATCTGAACAATGAAAAGTCAAGAAAAGGGCTACAGAAGCCCCAAGGGCAGCACCAGGAAAGGAGAAGCACCAGAACCCTGAAGCTTCCCCTACCGTAAAAAGTAGCAGAGGCAGAGCGGAAGAGGAGAGACAGATTGAGGGAGGGGCGAGTATGTCATGCCTTGGCGGCCGGCCGGAGCCTCAGGCACGTGCTGTACGGCAGGCGATTAAGGCATGGGTTTACACTACTTACTAGATAGTTTAGTTACACCCACTGCTCTTCCGCGAAAGAACACGCATGCCTCCCCATATAAGTTACCAGAATATATTTATGCTTACACAAGCATAGCTGGGCTCATATCAAATAAGGCATGTGGCCACCCGTGAGGTTGTATATGCATGGCAGTTTAACAAATCGAAATGCTTACATGATTGCCAAGTATCGGATGGCTGCTGCTGTTCCTGTCTGTTTTGTTGGTAAAATATGTACTCTGTTGTATGGTGCCAGCGGGCCATGACCCTACTGTATAACCTGATAGTACGTACTAGTAGTTAGTATTATTGATCCATTAAATTGATTCGTTCATCTATGATAGTCCGTGCTTTCATATTGGACCCTTGCCCCTTTCATGATTGTGGGATTGTACAAGCCCTGCACGGGTAGTATTGTTGGTTGCGGTAATAAGCTCCAGGGCCGATGATCCTGCCGCAGCGGGCAACGCACCCACTCCCTTTTAGTTCATCCCCAATCTGAATGTTGTTGTTGTTCTTCCTTGCGACCGCCTAAAGATTCTCCCTCGTCTCCCTAACCTTCTCCTCGCATCAATTGTGCCCATTCTTCCCTTCGCTTACACTCAATCATTATAGAACCCTCGGCTTGAGGCCTCTTATGGTCAGCACACAATGACCGTCACTCGATCCCAAACGGGGAAAACCCCAAAGTAAGTCATCCAGTTGCGCAAGGGAGTGAGAGTTCCATGGGAGAAACGAGAAGGCACGATGAATCAGGGACCGAGTGAGGAACCCCAGTCGTGAATAGTACCCTATCTTCGGTCTACCCCAATCGCGCTTCGCATGCGAGCCCTTCAATCTGCTTGTTGCAATTGATTGTCTTTGGCTTACCGGTCGATCAATCCCTCTAGGAAAATGGAGCGGCCCGGCTTCGTCGAGACACCTGGCCGCCGAGTAACCCGCAGCGCAAGCGCCAGATTGTCGGAGGAGCCTTCCGACTCAACAGCTGAAGGATCGAAGTCGACAACCCGGAGACGCACTTCTGTCAAGATCAAGACTGAACCTGTGGAGGAAGAATCAAAGCCCTTTGCGACCAATGGTCATGCCGACGGTTCTGATGTCAAAAAGGCTCGGATTGTGGATGGGTGGGAAGAAGGGAAGGACCCCAAAGTCGACTACAGTGGCCACTTTGAATTTGGAGGATCCTTCGGTGTCGCGTCCATGATGATCGGATTTCCGCTACTGATGTACTACATGTGGATTGGTGCCACCTACTACGATGGCAAGTTTCCTCGCCCCGCCGAAGGACAAAGTATGTCGGACTTCTTTGCGCATCTGGGACACCTGGTATATGAAGGTGCTTTCCCGTCTCTCAAGGCTTGGACGATCTACTGGGTGTTCTTCATCTTTGAGGGAATTTGCTACCTCTATCTCCCCGGTATCACCGTGATGGGTCGTCCTTTGCCGCACTTGGGAGGCAAGCAGCTGCCATACTACTGCTCTGCTGTTTGGTCCTTCTACACCACTATCGCGCTGGCCTCCCTGCTTCATATTACTGGTATCTTCAAGTTGTACACTATCATTGACGAGTTCGGCCCTCTCATGAGCGTCGCTATCCTTTCTGGGTTCCTTGTTGCTTTCGTGGCCTACTTTTCGGCATTGGCACGCGGGGCGCAACATCGCATGACCGGGCACCACGTCTACGATTTCTTCATGGGTGCCGAGCTCAACCCAAGAATGTTTGGCATTCTGGACTTCAAAATGTTCTTTGAAGTTCGCCTTCCTTGGTACATTCTGCTCTTCGTTACCTTGGGTGCCGCGGCCAGACAGTATGAAGTCTACGGCTACGTCTCTGGTGAAGTTGGTTTCCTTCTCATGGCGCACTTCTTGTATGCGAACGCCTGCTCTAAGGGTGAAGAGTGCATTGTGTCTACATGGTAAGTACTTCCCACAACCTGCGACTGTGTGTCACTGTCTAATTGGTTTGCAGGGACATGTACTACGAAAAATGGGGTTTCATGCTGATCTTCTGGAACCTCGCTGGTGTTCCCCTGAGCTACTGCCACTGCACAATCTACCTGGCCAACCACGACCCGGCCACGTACCACTGGAACCGCTACTTCCTCACATTCCTCTACGTCGCCTACCTCTTCGTGTACTGGGTGTGGGATACGACCAATAGTCAGAAGAACCGTTACCGCCAACAGGAGCGTGGAACGATGGTGTTCCGCAGCACTTTCCCGCAGCTGCCTTGGCAGACCCTGAAGAACCCCAAGACTATCACGGCTGAGGATGGTTCGAAGATCCTCGTCGACGGCTGGTGTAAGTTATGCTCATATTCTCACCTTTATCGTCATACATTGCGCTAAACTCGACACTCTGCAGATGGCAAGGCACGCAAGATCCACTACACCTGTGACCTGTACTTTGCCCTCAACTGGGGCCTCATTACTGGGTTCAGTAGCCCCTTCCCTTGGTTCTATCCTCTGTTCTTCGCCTGCATGATCACTCACCGTGCGATGCGTGATATCGAGCGTTGCCGGAACAAGTACGGCGAGGCCTGGAGGGAGTACGAGAGACAGGTTCCTTACCTGTTTATCCCGGTAAGTGAACTGCCGAGTGTTGATTATGCAGACCGACCGCTGACGTCTATGGCTAGTATGTGTTCTAAGCGTCTCGATGCGCCAGCCCACTCCTCAGCGCAACCTGGGGTTTCATATCTCCTAGTCTGGGATGAAGGTAGGGCCTTACATTTACAAGCTTCATTGCTTTTGACCGATCTTATCATATCTTGTTGTAATCTCTCTTATTTGCTCGATCCATGCGCTCGAGTCCTGACTCGAATACGCTACAGTACATGCATTATGTCTTGATTTTAGTTCTGCATGAGGATAATTCCTCAAGTGTCGCATTTCACCCTTTCCTGTTAGATCATGAACATTCTATGTACATTATTAGATTGCTTCTTTATTTTTTCTTTTTCTTTTTTTCTTGAATCGGCTTCTTTCATCTTTCATGTATTCCCGAACCTAGTTGCAACCATTAGGTAGCAAGCATTTTACTGTACCCTAATTAACATAATACCAAATGGATATCATATAACCAAACTGCAGTCCAAACAATGTACAATTCATCTCCCTGCCGTAGAAGATTTATGTTAGTTGATTTCTATATAGTGATCCCAATGCTTTCCCCAACTTCAAATCACATGACTACCCCTCCATTTCCGGGAATCTTATCGCAAGAATATCAGTCCCAACAACAACTGAACCCCGCCATAACGCTCTAAGCGGATCAAAACACTTCGATTGCCAATCTGTTACTTATCCTGAACCCCCTCGAACATTGAATAATTGCATACTACTCTCTATCTACGACAGTATAAATCTTAATCTACCATGTTGATTCAGGAATCTTTCCTTGATGTGCCGACCAAGGCGGACGGCAATGGAACTATGCGTATGTTACCCAGTAGTAGTTTGAGATTTGAGATTTACCTTTTATTCACCAGTAGCTGCGGCTACAATGGAGGATGACTAGTAATTATTTATCCAATTGATCATTGCTGACTTGGTTCTCAATTCAGGTATTTATGTCTTCCACCCTACTATTCCCGGGTACCCTAAGGCGCGGTTCCCGGGTGTAGTTGTGTTTAGTGAAATCTATCAAGGTAAGTTGAGAGCCCGATCTTTCAAGTAGATTCTAGGAAGTTTCCCTATAACGAGAAGATACGATTATCGATAACACCTATACATACAGTAACTGGCCCTGTCGCACGATTTGCTCGACAAATCGCCGGACAAGGATATATCTGCGCGGCGCCCTCGAGCTATCATGAATTCACGGGTCCCGAGCCGTTGAAGTATGATGCCGAGGATACGGACAAGGGCAATCAATGGAAAATTAGTAAGGTGAGTAAATTACCAGTTAAATTATTTACAGTTTGATTTGTGAAATGAAATATAGAAAGGCCCATGCTGAGGGATTCTTATCCATATAGAAAATTGCGGCTTACGATGAGGACGCCTCATTGTGCGTCGACTATCTACTGTCACTGCCCACGTGCAATGGTCGTGTAGGTGCGACGGGTATGTGCCTGGGTGGACATCTGGCGTATCGCTGCGCGTTGGACAGCCGCGTGAAAGCGGCGGTGTGCTACTTCGCCACGGACATCCATAGTAAGACGTTGGGGCTGGGGAAGAATGATGATAGTTTGGCCCGGGCAGGGGATATCAAGGGCGAGATGCTCATGGTGAGATAGGATCCCCGCCCTTCCATTTATTTTATAAGTCCGCTTCGCATGCGTGAGGGAATTGAAGTACTAACGGGAAGGATTGTTTGTGTGTTATCGCAGATTTTTGGAAAGAATGATACCCATGTTCCGCCCGAGGGAAGGGATTTGATCCGCAAGACCCTTCATGACAAGGGAGTCTTGTTTAGCTTTTACGAGGTGGCTTGGGCTCAACGTAGGTTCTTCATATTTTCCCTGTTTAGGAAGGGGGAGTAGAACGGGGGTGTGCTGACAAGGGTTCAATAGACGCCTTCATTCGCGATGAGCTCAGCAAGGGACGGTATGACCCTGCTATTACCAAGGTGTGCTTTGAGATGTTGCTGGAGTTGTTCGGACGGACGCTGAAGCTGGATCTGGGAGAGCATGATGGGAAGGAGTTGAAGATCGAAGATGTGTGCTAGAGGATGATGCGACCCGCGGACTCTGTGCAGTAGGTGGATTGGATGGTAGCAATAGGCAACGACGATATATCGGGAAACTAAATCGGTGTGACGACTCCATCATCTGCCCACCATGTTTGGCCATAGACGGCATTCTCCGACTTGCAGATTGTTCTATCGACTAGTTTACAAGGGCAATACTACTCTCCGACCCTCCCTTTGGACAATTCCTTTGTAGTATGATCAATTGGATATAGATGCAAGGGCGAGCAGACAGATGAAAGACAGATCCTGGCTGATGACCCTTCCGAGGGGACCAGCGGGGCGCACACAGTGGCTGAGAGTCCCATCGGATGAGTGAGATTGGGTGAGATCTAGTTCAAGCGGGACATGCATGTTACTAGTACAGAGAACATGAAATCATGCAGCATCAAAATAGTTTCCAGGAAGCATAAGTATGATTGAATAGGATGGATGTTGTTGAACCATGCTGACCGACGGGTTGGTGTGGCTGGGGGGGAAGGGAGCCTGCAGGCGTCATTCGGCGAAGGAACCGCGCGGGTTAAGACACATCATACAGTCGAAGGATGGAAGAAGATCGCAGCGGCATTTCACATCCGGATTTTCATGCAAGATCAATCAAGGTCCCAAGAAATGTTGCCTGTCACTGCTATTCTTAGCCCCAGCCAGAGACGGACAGTACGTACGTAAGTATGTAGCGAGTTCTCTACCATGATTCATGACTTGACTAGGATGCGGGTTGAGGGCGGAACCAGAATAGAAACTGGAGAAAAACTCAGGAAGCCCGAGCCATGGATGGCGAAAAAGGAGAACATAATCCATGGTACTGAAGTGCAAGTCAGGACATGTTTTCCACAGGGGGTCAAACTCTGCTGAGGTCAAGCACAGGGGGTTGTGTAGTAGTTTCTATGAATGTTTTTGTTGATTAGTTAGTATAGGCATAGAGACAGCCAAGGCGCTGTCTCTGTTCATAGACTCTACCAGCCGCATGAAGTAATTCCCGCTTCAGCCTATCTGGTTCCTGGATCTGCTGCGCTTCAGCTGCAGGGCTTTTGACGGACAATGCCTTATTTAGGGGCCATTCGTTGGCTGTGGATGGCGTCGCGCAACGGGCCTTCTTCCCTCTGGGTCTTAGACTGGCTGGTGGGAATTGGACTCGCACTGCCTATCATCGTGAGCCGAAAGATCTCCCATCCAACGCTAACCCGCGCCTAACTGGAACTAATTCCAGCTTTCCTGGACGCTCTATTTTCCAGCACAGCAAAGCATCTCGTGTGGACTTTTTAGACTAGGCTAGACATTGATTAGTCTACTTGTTGCTGGATTAGTTGGTATCTCTCCATCATTTCCCCTCCCCTTCTTCCTTTCTTTCTCTCTCTCTCTTTTGCTTTCTTCCGACGCTCTTCGCCCGGACAGCGTGGCTCAGCATCTTCTTCTCCTTCTTGTTCTACTTCCCCTCCTCGCTCTGTTGTCTCTATCTTGCTGTCTCTATTCTCATCTCATCCCGATCGATCGTTCAACCTTTCACACAGTCTTCTAGACTTGTGTATGACTTCGTTATTTGACGACGCTGCTGTTCCCGTCCCCCCACATACTACAATACTACTACTACACATACCCACTCGGCCCTACAGATCACCCACCCGCGCCGGTGTTTGAGATTATCGCTTTCACAATTCTTTGGCTCACGCTTCGGTCTCCCTCGAGTTGCTGATATTTACCCTTCCTTTCCCTTCCGGCTCCTTGAGTCTTACAATTCCCGATTAACCCGCTCCATCTTTTCCCGCTTTCTCTCAACTGTCCGACTGCACGTCGAGTTGTGAACCCGGCCTCTCAGGCCCTCCCTTGCCCCCCCTGGTCTCTCTTCCTTCTCTTCATTTCCCTTTTCGTGTGCAGTCTGTCTCTCTCACTCTCTCCCCCTGTTGGTCCCATTCTTTCTCCAGTTGTTTCAACTGAATCTTCCCACCCTGATTAAATTAATTCTTATTGCTCCTTATCGCCCGACTTTGTAATCATAATTGGTGCCCTCTTTTGTTCCCACATTCCAGATCTGCAGCGGAGCCATCGTGACCGACGTGGGTCTGCCGAACTCGATCGAATTATTCACCGTCACCACCACCACCACCGTCTGACCAAGCCTGCTCTCCGTGACCTTTGTTGCATGGTGTCGCGCTTCGTGCCTCTTTAGCCATGGGTTCGACACAGTTTGGAAATTTCAACGTGGGTTTGCCATTGATCTATCGTTTGCATCTGCCAGAACCTGGAAGAAGCTGACCGTGAATGATCTGCATGTGCAGGACTTTTGTCGAGATTCCACACTGCCCGTCTGCAATGTAAGTCTTCCCCAATTTACTTTATCCCCAATTTCCTTTTTCTGTTTCTGTCATCGGCTGTCAATGCTCAATTGATACATTCCATGTGGCTGACCATGTGCTTCCGATAGCTCTTTGTCTCCAACAATCAACCCCCTAATGAAGCATACGGAGGATGCCCGCTTCACGGTATCGTGCTCAGCGATAATCGCTATCTCAGCAATCTGGGTATGGCACGCCAGACATGCTCATGCTCGACGTCCTAGCGCTAACCTATACAGGCTCGATCCTTCTCGCGTTCATTTCCATCCTAGTATCGCTGTTCCTGCTGTTCAGGTCGGATCGCAAACGGGCGGCAGTCGGAAGGAGGTACGCGACAAACGATTGGATGAGGAAAAAAGGAGGGGAAATGCTGATTGGAGTAGGGAAATGCAAATATTTTTGCTGGCATTTATCGTCGTCGAAATCTGCGAGATCTTCTCTGTGGGCGGTTTCCCTCTGGATGCAGCAGTGCGCAAGGTTAGTCGTGCGACTCCTCACACGGATTGCTGTTTCTAATCAACATGCACAGGGCTTCTCGGCTGCACATGTCGCTGCAATCACCGCAACGTGCTGGATTCTCTTTCTGAATGCCGTGGTAGGCTATCAATTCCTCGACGACGGTACCCCGGCCTCAATCGGTCTAATCCTTGCCTCCGCCCTGGTTCTCTTCATCGGTACGGGCTATATTGCCCTGGACACGGCTTTTGACTGGACGGGTGAATTCGCGACAACCGAGGCAAACAATTATCGCAACATTGCTCTCTATGTGCTGTACCAACTCTTTCCTCTCATCTGCCTCGTCGCGTTTTACGTGTTGGAAGCTATCCTAGTTATTCGGATCTTGGGCGAAGTTCGACCAATGAGTAAGTTTACAACCTATTTTCGGATAACGTTGTTGTGTTTCATCCGACTCCCTAACTTGTCTATAGTCTACTTGACTGCTGCCGCCTTGTTGTTCGCCATCGGACAAATCTTCGAATACGTGATCAGCGTTCACCTCTGCCACGCCTCCGGCAGCAAGATTAACGGCGCATTGTTCGAGACACTTTTCACTCTTTTGGCAGTTGGTACAGTATGGAGCTTCTGGAGCAGCATCACCGAAGACGATTGGCCTATGCCGATAACAACCGGAGGCGCGTACCATTAAAGCACTCAGTGCTGAAAGCTGACCACCTCTATTAATACTCCCCTCATTTCCTCCCCTCATATCCGACTTGTTTATATTTCTTCTCTACGATCCTTGCACATCAGTGCTTCGATACCCGCCCTTTGCTCTTCGCATACTCGACGCATCCACGGAGTCTACGACGGGCTATGTTCTCGCCATCTTTTGTGATACCTTTTAACGTTTTATGATGTTTTTGATGCGACGTGGTGTGGTTTTATGCTTCGACTATGACTGAATCTATCTACTGTGGGGTGTGATCTACTTGCCCTGTTGATGAGTGTGTGATCGCAGCCGGTACCTACCTATCTTTGGTCTTAATTCTTGCTTCCAGCTAGATACCTATTTGCATTGTAATTAGTACGATGACGTTACTTTCCTTACCGACATCTGCAGCAGACGGTGGTTTCGCACTCGATATATCACCAGTACCATAATATATACTCGGGTGCAGAGACCGACGATAATGATACTATCTATACCCCAGGAATTGCTACCGTAATTCCACTAATCACCTACATGGCAACATCGACATAAAATGGTAGATACAGTTGCACTGCACTATCAATAACAATCCATTTCAGGACACGACAGGACAAGAAAGAAGATAGTTATGTACATAAAACCTTACAGGTTACACCGGAGAATTTCCCACGAACCCACCCCATACCAGGTCTTTCTTCAAGGAGACATATATTATGCATCATGTATGCAGCTAGCTGCAAGTCCACCGCGATATCTCTATGTTTATACCGACGTCAATCTCGACTTTGGACCTGAACAGTAGAAAAGCAGGAGAGAGAAAGCGTGCAAGATGGGGTAGAGAGGAGAAAGAGGAGGGGGCGTAATGTGAGAAGATATACACAACATGCAAATGCCGTTCTCTTTCGACAAAGAAACAAGATAAAAAAGATTGAAATGGAACAAAGTGGGAATAAAAAAGGAGAACCAGGACATGGGAAAAAGTGCCCATCAAACAAAACTAAACATATATATCTAAATTTCCCCCCATCACTACCATCCCCTCTCCTTTCTCCAAACACACTCAATAAGGTATAGATAAGCAAACCTCCCTATTTTACAACCTCACCTTGACATCCACACACGGCAACGTCCACTCCCTCCTCCCCAAAAGACTCCTCAGCCACTCAAGCCCAATACCCGTCCACTCATCTTGCGCGGAAGTCGTTGTCGACGCGGCCAATGTTCCATTCAGGGCGAGTCTGCGTTGCGCTTCTTCGACGACGGCCCCGGCAAGGGCCTTGGTGGTGCTGTTGACGGTTTCGAAGACGTAGCTGGCGAGGGTTTCATTGACGGATGATGATGTACTTGTGGTGGTGTCTAATGCGGTGGTGGAGTAGCGCGGAGAGAACCAGTCACCGCGGAGATCGAAGAAACATTTGTCGGACCAGTGGCAGGAGGAGATGAAGAGGATGAGGAGGAGCGCGGAGCAGTAGATGCAGGGTCGGTGGAGGATGTAGGTTAGGGTGACGAAGGAGATGATGAAGAGGGGAGAGGCGTTTGTTGGGATGAAGAGGAGGGGGAGCCAGCTAGATTCATTCATTTGTTGATTAGTACTTTGGGGGGTTTGACGGAGTGGTTTGGAGGCGAGGATGGATTTGCTTACCTCCGGAGACAGAACATGGTGCTGGTTGTGGGTTCGTCGTGGTGGTTAAGATAGTGGTTGGTGCGTGAGGTATTTGGACGGAATTGC